GGGGTGAATTGGTTTTTGAAAAATTCTTTAAAACCAAAAGAACGATTATCACAAACCAAAATCACCACGGAAAAATAAATGCGAAAAATTAAAGTGTGGAAGCAGTAAAAAAGAATACAAGGGCTTATAGTGGTTCGGTCAACTTGACCTACATCCACTCCCCGGAGGTGCCCTCCGAGTATTGCACTACCAACGTGACTTTTCTTTAGCCCCCACAGCTAGGCTGAGAAGCTCTTACAAAAACACCTCCTTTTTGCCACAGCCGGCAAGGTAGAGAACCCAACTCCTTTTGCTTCCTCCTGAAGCAGGCAGAGAACCACGATCACTTGCTGAAACTTACCTCTCCTAACCCTTCCAAGGATAAGAGACTCTAGGGAAGAAGAAGTGGAACAATGCTTGGAGCAACCCTTGTGAACCCCCTCACAAGATCCTCTCTCTCTCTATCTCCTTTAGGTTTTCTCAGGTCAAGACAACAGCCAAGGATATTCAAAAATGTTGAACAAAATCTCTTAAATAGAATAGCTTCAAAGGAGCTTATTAACTACAAGTTGCCAACTTTATCATCCAGGACGATAAGTAAATCATTCTGGCCGATCAGTATAAACCTCATAAGATCGGCCAGAGCATCGCCTTGAATGTAAACTGGACGATAGAAAATTTTCTTGATCATCCCGGACGATATCACGATCATCCCGGCCGATCAGTTCAAATTAGAGGAAAATCGTCCAGAGCATCGCCCTGAATTTGAGTTGTCTGATCCAAATCGGCCAGAGCATCACCCTGAATTTGTACTGGCTGATATTTATCATCTAGGAGCAACCAAGGGTTTTTGAATGGATCGTCCAGGCCAATCTTGCGATCGTCCAGGACGATGTGATCGTATCAATCATCCTTAATTACTCCCATGATTGCCAGATCAATTTAGGTATAATTATACAATATCATCGAGACCGATCAAAGAATCGTCCTGGCCGATTTTCAAAAATACAAAATACCTAAATAGGTCATGGTGGCTATCTCTTTCTATTTTGAGCATATCGTCCTGGCCGATACATGTATCGTCCAGGACGATCAGTTAATTACGGCTGCCTTAACTAAAAAATCCTTATTAGATCTTCTGTTTTGAACTCGATTGTCCAGGACGATATAAATATCGTCCGAGATGATGTGAGTAAAAATACAAGTTCTAAATCTCTCAAGTGTGTGTGTAGGGTTACTTAACATCAGTCACTTTAAGTAATTACAATTGACTCAAGAAAGAAAAAAGAAATTTACATACTAACTCAACCCTAATCTACCCAGTCTTGAGCTGATTCCGATTTCCGTCCGATCTTTGAGTCCTAAAAAGTCAGTAGAAAAGGGTAGTCGTAGTGAAACAAGATTTATTTGCTATCATCAAAATCATAATCCAAAAAACATGTTTGTAACAATCTCTCCCTTTTTTATGATGACAAACATATCGATAATCAATTCTAAAATAGTAATGCAAAACTAAACAAGCTTTCAAATTTTTGAACATAACAAGTACAAACATACTACAAGAGCAAGTACAAACATACTACTCCCCCTTTTGACATCTCAAAAAGGAGGAGGAAACTAAAACACTAACTAAAATAACTAAAAACACAATACATAAAAATAAAGCAATCTACATAAAATAGAAACTAAAACTATAGAAATGAGGGATCCTGGTCATCAGATGGAGGTGGAGGTGGTGGAGCCTGCTGAAAGTAGCTAGCTAGCTTAGTAAATTGAGCATTGAACCAGGCTATGTCCTGGTCGTGCTGCTGTTGCTGGTGAGAAATGTAGCTGTCAAAACGGGCTAAGGCCTATGCGCGGTGCTGCTCATAGCGGGCAATGTCCTCAGAATATTACTGCTCCTGTGCAGTAACATAAGTGTCGAATCGGGTCTCCCATCGATCAAATCTCTCCACTAATTGATCAAACTGCGAGTGCTGGTGGAGAGGAGCAGGTTCAGGAACGGCAGCGGGAGCCTCCTCCTCAGCCCCCTGAGGTTCCCCATCCCCTGGGTGGAGACGAGTACTGTGAAGGATATTGAAAGAGCTGTTTGAGTAGCAAGGAGGCTGAAGGTCGTGACAAGCAGGATATTGAAGGTTATATTTGATTTCAAGAATATAGGCTATGAGATGTCCTAGAGCAAGGTTGGGTTTCCTCCTATGGCCTGGATCGCGAATAGTTGTTAAATGATCAATGTATCAAAAAATCAAGTCAGTAGCATTAAACTCTCTCCGGGCGATGATGTAAAAGGTAGTCAGAGAAAGTAGAGGAGTGATGTGGACTCGGTCCCTGGCTTTTGGAATAATGGAGGTGCGAAGGACATGCTTAATTGTCCTAGCATCTTTGACTAAAGAGTTAGTCTCTCCAACATGAAAGGGTGCGTTGGTCTTGCGAAGAAAATGATTTATCGTGGACCAGTAAAAATCAGGATCTGAGATAATTATATGCAGCTTATCCCCGGTGGTGGATAGCTGCAATAGTTCAGAATAGTCTTGATATGTGATCTCGACCGGGCGTTGATTCACATAGGAGGTCAGGGTTGTGAAAGTAGAATTTATACAAAGATTTGCATAAAATTCTAACAGAAGTTCTGAGGAAAAAGGGACAGCGAGGGTAAGAATGAAACAAAGAGAAGTGTGAGTAAAGAGATCCATTACCGGATACGAAAGGTGGACATGATTGATGGTTCTGGAAAGAGTGATGCCACATTCTTTGTAACGATGGTAAGCTGCTTGATCCTCTACTTCCCTGAATCGAGGGTCCAGAGTGGCCCTTGAGCAACTTTCACAAGCCTGTCGGACTCTCTTTTCACCAGCCATAGCAAGAAATCAGTAAGTAAAAATGAGATAAGAAGAAGCTTTGAGGTCAAAACAATGGCTGGAATGGCCTGTATTTAAAGAAACGGCCATATCGTCCAGGACGATCGCAGAATCGTTCAGGATGATTTGGTTCAATTATTGCGTACATGCCGATTCGTCAAAAAGGTGGTCCGATCGTCCGGGCCGATCAGATATCGGCCAGGACGATTAGACACAAGCGATCATCCCAAGGAGTCAAACCGGACGACGGTTGAAAAAGCAGATCGTCCGGGCCAATTAGGTGTATCGTCTAGGACGATGCACAATAATTGATTGTACCGGTCGAAGTTAAAATATTTTAAATCTGTGTCATGTGTATCGTCTAGGACGAATATTTGGATCGGCCAGGACGATTGTCCAATAATGGATCATCCGGGGCCGATTTTAAGGATTTAAACGTACTAACACATGGATCGTCCGGGACGATCTAATGTATTGGCCAGGACGATGACCATAAATGCATCGGCCATGATGAAAATTGTGTCGAGTGCTTGACTTTCTTTTCTCTAGTTTCTTCTTTATCACCTTAGTCCCTCCGAATGCTGGTATGAACCCTGCATAATGACTAAGCCCTTTGAACCATTTCTTTCCTTTTGAATAGGACTTCTTAGTCTTAGCCCTATGTGCCAATCCCATTTGTGGAAAGAATAATGTATGGACCTTAATCGAGAGTCTTCTTGGGCTCTGGCCTGAGATGTTATTAACCACAGGGGCTTGCGCCCCTGGAAAACTGAATTCCACATCTACTAAATCACATCTGAGCTAATGTATCAGGTGGGGGAAACTCGTGACTGTGATCAGGCCATGCATATTATTATCCATCGAGGTGCGTAGGTGAGAGCCACTATCCTCCATGGTTAATCGTATATATGGTCCAATCTGCCCTTCCATTGGCCCATTTGCGAGGAGCGCGGAGGCCCGCGATCATCTCTATCCCACGGGGTAGGTGCGATCGTATACCCTTCTGCAATCCTGCAGCCGCGGCGGTGTCCTTTCGGAGGTCCACAGCTTTCTTCGCGCATTAGAGCTTTGATCTGATCATTTTAAAAAAAACTAGAAGAGGTAACGACAACCCAGCACCGCTGATACTTGGTATTTATTGGAGACACTTCCAAAGCCATCTTCAGCGCTCAAATGGCTTTGATATGAGCATTTTTAAGAACAACATGCTTTTAGTTGAAAACCAATCTAGAAATTGGAAAAAATAATATAAAATTGCATTGGTCATTGGGGCTAGCTTTTCGATTCACTTAACTGCATACTTGAGCAAATTCTTAATTTTCTTTGACTTGTGCTCGATCCTCAAGATCATTGCTTCGATATTCTCCTCCGCCATCAGTGCTGCAGCACCCATGTCTATTGTTTTAAGAAGAGATTTGAGGATAAAATTAGCAGTAATTCAATCGTAGGGCAATTGATTTGATTTGGCAAGGGCAGTGCAAATTAAGGTGGACAGTTGTCCGAATCTAACTTAAGTGAAAGTTGCTCCGATTTAGACTTTCAGACTGGTCATGTTTGGATACAGAATTTATGTAGGACTTATGAAAATCCTGTCAGCAGAATTTGAGAAGATGTCTCATGTAGAAAAACCAAAAAAAGGAAGATGGTGACTCTCTATCTGTATAAAGGGCAATGAAATCTGCGAGCAAAACGTGAAATAGACTTTGTTACCTTAGTTGTGAGCTCTGATTTAGACTTTCATCTCGATGGCAAAGAAGGTATGGAGTAGACAAAAACATGACAATCTCGATCTCTAGTGACAAAGAAGAAGAAATTTGACGCGCGAAAGGCATAATCGGGATTGGCTATTGATGGAGTGGTAATTTTTAGATGAAAGTGAGTGTTTTTAGATGGTAGGTATGTAAATATCATATTTAGGTGTTAGATAAGTAAATATAATTGTTTTAAGTGTTATGTTCCTAAAAATAATTTATATTTTATTTGAGACAGTTTTTTTATTATTTTTTAAATTTATTTTATTTGAGATAGTTTTTTATAACTTATTAAAATAATTTTATAGTTAAAAATTAAAATTTTTATTTTAAAAAACAGAAAAGAAGGGCAAAAAAAATAAAAAAAAAAACATATCAAACCTAGCCTTAATGCAAATGCTGGAAGACGCCCGCTGTCGATGTAACATTCCAGAACAGTGGCTGCAAAATTTCCATTTTCCAGAATACTAACTTAAATGCTAAGCTTTCTTTCTGGCTCGCATAATAAATAAAGAAGATATACTCGGGAAGGAGAAGCCATGGGTCTCGTTCGTGATCGATTCAAGTTCCACTTCCGCCGCTCCTCCTCCTCCATCCCGACGCCATCTCCACCGACGCCGCCTACCGCCGTTAAATCGACGGATCCGCCTCCGGAGTTTCTCTGCCCCATATCCGGCGCTCTCATGGCGGACCCCGTCATCATACCTTCTGGCGAGACATTCGAGCGCGCCTGCATCGAAGTTTGTCGAGACCTCGCCGTCTCCCCTCCTTCGCTTTCGCTCGATCTATCTTCTTCCCTGATTCTCATACCCAACTCCGCCCTCCGCTCAGCCATTCTTCGCTGGTGTGACATCGCCGGCATACCCCGTCCCACCCCCCTATCTTCTGACGTTGCCAACCGCTTTCTTTCCTCCTCGAATTTCAAGCCGCAGATAAACTGTTCGGATGAATTACCCAACGAAAACAGCTCCCCCATCACCTCCTCCTCCTCCTCTTCCTCCGACCACTCCTCATCCTCATCTTCGTCTTCCGAAATCATCGCCCCCAAAACCACAAAATTAGAAACCCCGGAAACCCCTCCCCCCGCGGATCCGCTCGAAGAAAAGATCTTGGTCAAACTGAAGTACGCCCAAATCCAGGAACAGGAGACCGCACTAAATTCGCTCCTCGAAGCTACGAGAGAGTCTGCCTCCCGGCGCGTTGCCCTCGGAAGCCCCCGCCTTCTCAGTGCGCTCCGTGGCCTACTTCTCTCCCGCTACCCCTCCGTCAAATCTAGCGCCCTCGCCATCATCGTCAACCTCTCCCTCGAGCCGGTTAACAAGATCAGCATCGTCCGCTCGGGTGCAGTCCCAGCTATCGTCGACGCGCTACAGTCTTCTTCAAGAGAGAACGCGGCGGGCGCTTTGTTCAGCCTGTCCTTGGAAGAACAGAACAGGACGGCGATTGGGGTTCTTGGAGCAGTGCCGCCGCTGCTGCGCCTCTTTTGCGATTCTAATGAGAATTTGCGAGCGAGGCTTGAGGCAGGAATGGCCCTGCACTATTTAGGTTTGGCGGAGATGAACATGGCGAAGATTGCGAAGATTGCAGGGGCGGTGAAGGGGTTAATAGCGGTGGCGAAGGGGGAGGAAAGGGAGTTGAGAATCCTGGCGAAGAGAGTGATGGCGGGGATGGTGGAGAGCAAGGAAGGGAAGACGGCGATGCTGGATGGTGGGGCCGTAGAGGCGGCGGTGGCGTTCTTGAGTAAAGAAGAGGAGCAAGACGAAAAGGAGATGGTGGTGACGATGCTGTACGGAATGAGCATGGGAGGATTTAGATTTAGAGGAATAGCAAGGAAGGCGGGGGCGGAGGAGGTGATCGAGAAAGCGGCGGAGTGTTTGGAAAACGAGAAGAAGGAGATGGCGAGGATGACGCTTAGGGTAATAAGGGGAGATGAGAGTGATAAAGATGTGGCGAGGAGTTTTTGGCCGACGTCGGAGGAGGAGGAGGAAAGGAGTGCTTCGTCGGAGACGCTGGTGGCTCGCCGGAGGAGGAACCGGGATTCTGGTGGCGGTTCAGCTCCTAATTCAGCCGGGTTCTGAATTCCGGTTTTCTGCTTTTTGCTTTTTTAACGTTATTATATTTTTATTAGTGGATGTTGTGAAAAGTTGGGATGATCGCATTTTAAATTTGTGGCTATCTTAGATAGGTAGGTAAAAAATTTTGAATGCAAATTTTATTTAAATTAATTAAATAACAGACGGATGGACCGCCAGGTTGTGTGGATTTTGAAAAAAATAATAATATACTCATATAGATACAAATTGAGTAAGTGTGGAGATGCTCAAATGAATGAGTTATTTTATACTTAGATTTACAGTATGAAAGGAGTATATACGTACAAAAGATTTAAGCAGCTCCATTGCCGCATAAGATTATAAAGTAATTTTAGATTATTTGGTATCATAAAATGCTTGCCTTCGGAAATCTGATTTATGAAATCTAATATATGTTAAGAAAGATGGAACCAGACATAAAAAGATTTTGTTAAAAAGTTTTAGAAATTTTTTTTAATTAGATTTAAATGAGAATTTAATTGACATAATAAAGAAAAAGAATTCGTTTTGTTGACCTCACCTAGTGTGATGAAGCTTTGATGATTTATGGGTTCAAATAGAGGTGCTTTTTTTGTTGCATTGAATTAATGTAATTTCACAAATACATCACATAAATTTTAAATTTTAAATTGTAAATTGTTTAATTGATAGACCGAATTTTTAACCAACAATTAAGGTTGGCTGCAGAGTTTTTTTTATTTGTTTGTTTGTTTGTTTGTGAAGTATCTCAATAATCTCTTAGCCCGCATCTAATTGAATCCTATTTAAGAGATTTTGTTGCTCAAGAGAATTCACAAATGAATTCCCAACTGCATAGACCGACTAACCCCACAACTCAAATTACTGAGGAAATTATATATTATATAAATCCATTTTCCAATAGTCAAAGATTTGGACCGATGCCTGCACAGTGGAGAGTGGAGACCCGTGCTCGATGGGGTCAATGCCTTGGGTCTTCAGTTGACTCATATGTTTATGTACTTATAGCTTAATTAATTATAAGATAAATTATGCTCATCTGCATGTTCTTGTGTACTTCCACGAGTCACTCGCCAGATCCGATGAATTATTTTTTATTAGTTTAATTTGAATAAAAATGCAAATAAATTATATTCGATATTTTATTGTTATTTTGACTTTCAGTCAGAGCAAAACAAGCGAAGAAGTAGCAGCACTAACAACTTAATACGTAGGAAACAATGAGAGGAAATTGTGTCAAGATATAGTGATTAAAATATTATTGGTTTTGTTACGTTCTAAAATATTCACGGTTATAAAAATATGTATAGTTTAGCGTCTTAATTTTGTATGAAGATTCAGCACATAAAAAGATAAAAAAGATGGATACAGTAATCATAAGACCAGACTTTTTACTTAGAAGCTCTTAAAAAGGGAGAAAAAGCACGGGATTTTGCAAACTCGAAATGAATTCTTTAGTGTTGGTGGTTGATTATAAATAATGTTCCACCTCAAAGGAGGGTGTTAGCTCAATAAAATAAATATATATCATAAATAACATATTGCATTGTTGGAGAATAAAATGATAGTCGTTCTCAAGAGTTATTATCCTACTTGTTTGATAGGATTGTATTTGGGTGATAGAGGTTGGAAGGAACGTAGCAGACATGCGATGGCGATCGAAAGGATCGTAGTCGAGCAATGGAGGTTAGAAGGACCATATTAGAGCGCGGTGGTCAGAAAGACTGTAGTCGGGCGACGGCAGTCGGAAGGACTACAATTGGCGGACAGCGATGCTCGGAAGAACCATAGTCAGCTGACGGTAATCGGAAGAACAGTAGTCGGGTGACGGTGGTAGGAAGAACCATAGTTGTGGGCGATGGTGGTCGGAAGAACTGTAGCAGGGGGAATGTGGTTGGAATGACTGTAGTCAACGGCGATGGTTGGAAGAAGGCCCGGTAATGGCTTCTAAATGGAGATTTAATGACGATGGTAAGGAAGAGGTCTAACAGCAGCCATCTGGTGGAGCAGATTCGTTGGCCATGTTGCTGGGGTGGAGCTCCAAGATGCTTCAAGGCTAAGAGCTCTTCTCTTCTTCCTCCCCTCCATCCTTTCATGTAAAAAATGGGGGCCTATTTTATAATTTTTGGGAGTGACATGGCTAGTAAATATGGAGAAGATCAAGGGTATGTTGAGGGTGTTACATCAGACGGCTCCTAATAATCCCCTTGATTATAGAGTGTTTATCAAGCAATTATGCCTTAGAGTTGTCAGAATTGAATGATTTTGGACTCGTTGGACTCGTCTTGTCAAGCTGCTCGATTTGACTATAAGCATTTCATATTTAGATATCATTTGGTCAACAAATGATTGTTTTGAAGCTTCCAAATAGGCTTTGATTATTTAATTTGGACCAATTTGGGTTCGGATTGGATCAAATTTGGTTTCGTTAGGTTAGTCTCCTAGAGATGTTTAATTTGACTATAAGATTGCTGAAATCAGAGTACAGGTGATCTCGAATTAAATTTTGGAAATTTCTAATTTATATTTATATCAAGATTTGCAACTAATTAAGATATTTTTTTTTTGTGACATATCAGTTGACTACTTATTTTCAAACGTCAAAGCTTCAAGAGTTTGAAATTATATATAAGAATTTCGAAAAATCATGAGATTTCAGTATCAAACAAATTATGAGGCGCGACCACATTCTAAATGTCAATGTGGATCTCCCCTTGGGGTCGTAAACCAAGTAAAATATATTTGATTAAAAGTTTTGAATACACTAAGGTTGGCGCACCGATCAGAGCAAAAAATGTTCGAAAATTCAGCTACAAACTTTAGAAATTGCTCTAAATTGATTATAAAGGCCACCTTTTTTATTTAAAGTTGTAAAATTGAGTCTAGAATGTCAAAAAATGTCTTTGGGTATCTCAAAATGTAAAAAATGGACTGTCCAGATTGAAAATCAGGCTCGAACTTAACTTAGCAGTTGAACTGACTTGCCACCGCTCGCCGGAGTCGATTTTACGAGTTCCATGCACTCCAGACACTCTTGAGGGGGTGTGCCTCCCTTGTCCTCATCAGTTTTACTAGCAGGTAGTTATGACATATTTTTAGTGCATAAGGAGGTGGCTTTGGTGCCCCTCTTTGTGTAAAAGGAGTAGCTCTCTCCTTTCTTCTCCTTCTCTTCTATACTTCTTTTTTTATTAGAGGCATTCCACTATCTTAGATAGGCAGTATTCCTTATTAATCTCTAGTGCTCCTCTTTATGTAGGAGTATATCTTATCTTTCTTCTCCTTCTTTATCATACTTTTTCTCACATTAGAGGCATTCCACTTTTTTGGATAGGTGATATCCCCTATCAAGCCCAGTGTCCCTCTTAATGCAGAAGAAGTTTTGATGGAAAATTGCCCATGATAAAGGAAGATCAGCCACCTCTTTTATGAAATGATGGTTTAAAGAGATCTAGCACTAGTAGCACTTGAGAGGTAACCTGGTAATAGCGAGCAGACAAGGGAAAGACTAAAGATGGTCTATTTTCATGAAGTGATCCAGCGATCATAAGTAGATTCTTTGATACATAGAGTTAGACATTATGCCGATGAAAGCCTAATGGAGATGGTTAAGTGATATTCCGATGTTGGCATTCGAGCAATAAGATAATGGCGATAATTGGAGGGTGTGTTGCTAACAGTAGTAAACCAAGATGGCGATGATGGCTGATAGGTGGTGAAGGGCCAACAGCGGTGGTTGAGAGGGAGTGGACCAATAGGGTCCATCAGGCGAAGGGCAAACAATGAAGGTGATCGAGTTACATTTGACTAAAAATAATATGTAGTGAATAGCTTGACGAAGGTGGTTAGGTGGTACGTCAAGCTGTGAAGTAATAGTTGCATAGGAATACTGATAAATGAGTAAAGGTATGGCGGGGCTTCAAACTTTCCTTGAAGAATAAGTTGAAAGGGATGCTTCAGAGTGTAGTATTGAAGAATTCGATGGAATCTGCCAATGATGTTTAACCTTTTAAAGGTTGTTCGTAAGGGTGTTGCTCAAAGATTTTAACATGTATGAAGGACATTGGGAAAATCCACTAAGGATATTTGAATTATTTAAAGTTATTTGTTAGAGCATTGCTCAATAACATTAACCTGCATGGAAGTGGTTGAGAGAATCTACCAAGGATTTTTGACCTATTCGAGATTGTTTTTCATAGTGTTGCTTGATGATGCTTCCCTTTGTGAAAGAGGTCAAATCGAATTTGCCTATAATCAATTATACATTGATTAGGAAGGGATGAATGTCGCATGTATCCCAAATCGAAAGTAAAAATTGGTCTATCTTTAGACCGTTACTACCTTTTTTGATGTTAAGAGTAAGATATTACTTAAAGAGTAGAAATCTAACTGGGAATTATATAGAGCTTAAAATTTACTGGAAGCATCCTTATATTTGTTAGGAGCTTTATAAAAAATGGTTTCCAATGATATTGTCTTGGATGTTGAAAGTACTTGAGGAATTTTCTTATGATCAATTATACATTGATTAGGAAGGGACGAATGTCGCATGTATCCCAAATCGAAGGTAAAAATTGGTCTATCTTTAGACCGCTACTACCTTTTTTGATGTTAAGAGTAAGATATTACTTAAAGAGTAGAAATCTAACTGGGGATTATATAGAGCTTAAAATTTACTGGAAGCATCCTTATATTTGTTAGGAGCTTTATAAAAAATGGTTTCCAATGATATTGTCTTGGATGTTGAAAGTATTTGAGGAATTTTCTTAGCCATATTTGCATTTAATGTTGTAGCCAAGGCGCGCGCCCCCCCAGTAGTTTAAATTTTGTTCCATAAAATTGATGCATCAATGTATGATGCCTGAGAAACGACAAAATAATGCATAAAGTTATCCTCACTATTAAAAAACTTCTTACAGACATAATAATAGACCATGGTAAAGAGACTATGTTGCTTCAATCTTGTCTTGGATGTTGACGTGAATGACCTTTTGAGGTTATAACAAAGGTTGCGCCCTACCCAAGAATTATTTCTCACAGATATTGACAAACTGTTGTGTCCTAGAACATTCATGGTGATAAAGAGATGTATACTTTAGCATCCCAACTTTGCACAAAGATCCATCACACAAATATATAAAAGAGATGGGTGCATCAATTATAGGAGATACCATAGTTTTTACGTGAAAACTCTTGAAAATGGAG